CGTTTTGGGCGCGGGGAGGGGCATTTTTACTGCGTGATAAATTTGAGCAGCATGGCACGGCGGTATATGTATTTTTATCCATAAATTAATCAATATTAATTCTGCTGTTAAAAACAAATAAAGAAACCGTGTAGGAGAGTGGTTATTATGTGCAAACAGTGAGACACTCTATATTTGTGCAATGTGCGCATGTAAAAAAAAAAAAATCAATTCCGATTTGAAGCTTGTGACATATAAACACGCACATCAACCCGATCACTTTATTTAGCGTTCATGTAAACACTACATTCAGATTAATCAATCGGAATCAATTCAGTCCGATTGAACCAAAAATTGTGCATGTAAACATAGCCACTGACTGTAATAAGTACTTTTCATCCATCCTGTCATACTTTTAAATATATTGATATGTGACCCTGGACCACAAAACCAGTCGTAAAGGTAAATTGAGATTTATACATATATTTATAGGATAGGACAATATTTGGCCGAGATAAAACTATTTGAAAATCTGGAATCTGAGGATGCAAAAAAATCCAAATATTGAGAAAATCACCTTTAAAGTTGTCCAAATGAAGTTCTTAGCAATGCATATTACTAATCAAAAATGAAGTTTTGATATATTTACGGTAGGAAATTTACAAAATATCTTCATAGAACATGATCTTTACTTAATATCCTAATGATTTTTGGCATAAAAGAAAAATTTATAATTTTGACCCATACAATGTTTTTTTGGCTATTGCTACAAATATACCCCAGCGACTTAAGACTGGTTTTGTGCTCCAGGGTCACATATCACTAAAAGTAATGATAGCTTGATTCCGTAACCGCTCTGCTGGCTAATTCTGTAAGTTAATTCAGTGAAGGAACCACTGGACTGATTCAAAAGGTCTCCTGAGTATGTCTTGAGTCTTTTTGATGGATTGAATGACTAATTTTCATCGTTTTTGAATCGATCTGTACTTGTTGTGCAGTATGTTTTTTATTCACTACAAAGTAACAGTACATAAGAGTAATTTGTTAATCAATTGGATTACATTTGCTATGCTCTGTTTTTATTTACTAAAAAGAACCAGTTCTTTTTACATAGTCTTAAATCTTAGTAAACTCAAACTCAACTAAATGCTAAAGGTCTTTGTTCACACAGATGTGGGCCCTTGCCCAAGCCATACCCAGTTCCCACTGTTCTCATGAAACTCAAGGATCTTTCTCTACAAATCATTGTACACATTAGCTAAAATCCTCAGTCAAGTTAGTATAAAACTGAAGGCTATTATTTTCTCTTTTTTACATTTCCTACAATCTCTCTTGGAAACGTTCATGGATTCTGTGCCTGGCATAATAACCTAACCTCATATGACCCCTGAGAAATGTGATGTATTGAGTTGCATTATTCACACTCACTCTGTATGCCTCATAAGTCCTGAATACATTCCGAGTTCTCTGTGTTCTTGCATTCCTGACTTCTGTGGTTTGACCTTGATGGCCATCTTGTTTGAGGAACTGCATTCTTAACAGCGTCTACACAGGATTACATTGAAACAAAAGTTGACCTGATCCAAACGAGTAAAAAAATCCCTCAGTTGTGGAACGTGCTCTTTCAATATGCAAAAAGAAAAGCTTTAGACTCTGTTTATACAGTATGCTATGTGATAAAACCTCGAGCAATACAAGCTTTTGCTTCCAGCTATCTCTTGTAAATCTGATGCAGCCGTGATAAGTTACAGGACATCCTATCATTCTAAAGCATCGTAGCAAGATGTTAAAACATGTTAGAAACATGCTAAAATAGCTTAGGAGCATGACAGTAACATGCTAAACTTAAAACATGCTAGCAACATGCTAAAACGTGTTAATCTAATAGATTATACTCTAATATTCGAACAGAGTAAATCACTCTAGCAACACCAAGTAACATGCTAACCATGCTTAACAACACTTGTTAAGAAACACTATTAGAGACACGCTAGCAATGCTTAGAAAGGTGGTCTGATGGGCTTTCATGTTTGATCTTATTGATCAGATCTAATTGGTCTGAAAAGGTTTATTGGTAACTGAACTGCTTTGATATGGTTTCTTTGGGGGTCAAATGAAGTCTGAAGAGGTCTAATATGGCATGTCTGAGACATCTTCTTCATCTGACTTTGTTTCTGCCTTTCTTTTTCAATAAAACATTCAAACCTCAAAGTTTGTCAAAGTTTTCTCAAGATTTTTCAACTGTACTCATCTACTTTTCATGTAATATTGTATAATCATTTTTTGCTTCAATATTTACAGTTATTTAATAGAATAAACAAAATGTTGACTTTATAATACCACATTTGCTATTTTTCACACACAGTATAAATGTACACGGTACATAAGAAATTAACTTAAAGGTGACATATCATGGAAATCTCATGTAATATTGTATAATCATTTTTTGCTTCAATATTTACAGTTATTTAATAGAATAAACAAAATGTTGACTTTATAATACCACATTTGTTATTTTTCACACACAGTATAAATGTACACGGTACATAAGAAATTAACTTAAAGGTGACATATCATGAAAATCTGACTTTTCCAGGTTTTAAGTGCTATAATTAGGTCCCTGGTGCATCTACCAACCAAGGAAGACTATTTAGAGTCCCAGCCTCAGAGGAGACAAGAGAGCAGTGGATTTATTGATTTATTTAAGTATATTGCTGCTGCCACACAGATCTAAAATAAACATGCGATTTATTTCCCAGTAGTTTACCTTCACATACATAACCGACTGTTTTTGTAACTCGTGTGTGTTTTTAACGTAAACTTGTGTGTGAATGAGAACTTAGTTTAGTACTCACATGCTGTGACAGCCGCTTTCTGTCCGTGTGCTTCGGATGTGTGCTCTCAGATAACCGTATATCAGAAGTTTAAACTCATGGTTTAAAACGCATGATTTCAGCGCGATAAACATGATAATCAGAACCAAAACAGATGTTTTTAGCTGGTCCGAGATGTAATGGTGCAGCTCTATTCTGGAAAAGGGGGCGGGGAGCAGCAACTCGTTTGCATTTAAAGAAACAGGCCCGAAAAACAGCGTGTTTCTGCTTCCACTCAAAACATAATAAATGATCTGTGGAGTATTTTGAGCTGAAACTTCACAGACACATTCTGGGGACACCAGAGACTTATATTACATATTGTAAAAAGGGGCATAATATGTCTCCTTTAAATGTCCCTGTGATACTCATCACTGATTAACACATCTTGGACTTTCTTTAGGTTGTAGGATCGATTGGTGTTAGATTGTATTAAAGATGATCAGCCTTTGTGTTCTACTTTTTTTGTCCTAGTTTTGTTCCTTGAGCGATGATTAACTGAAATTTGTGTTCAGTTCCAGGAGCTCCAGCTGGACAGTGATTCCTTGTTAGTAACCAATCGGAGTCTTGCAGAAGAGAGCCTTTCACAACGCCCTCACCTTCAAAACGGCAAGCTGCAGTTGGCTGCAAAGTACAAGGAACTGGCAAAACTGACCACTGCCTGCAGGGAAAAGCAAAGCCGACTTGGTGAGTAGAGGTTTAGGGTCTTGCGCGAGTGGTGTTGTGAATGCTAAGTACACCAACTGTTTCTCATTTTCTTCATGGTTCAACACACATTGTGTTGTTTGCTTTTTATATTAGCTATATCTAGGGCTAAGCGATAAATCCATATCAGTATTCACCAGAAAAAATAAGTCCATGATACTGATTGTCTCGTCTCGCTGTATGAGGAGACTCCAAATGAAATTCATCTCCAAAGCTGATTTTTCACATCATAGTTTAATTTGATAAAGAAGGAGATGAAAAGGAACTGATGCATATGTGAGAGAGGCGTTTCCTGCACCACCACTCTGTGGGGTGTCTCGAAGATGCCCGTGTAAGTTTGTATTGTCTGTTTCTCAGGAGATCAAAGTATCTGAGTTTCTTTTATCCTTACACAGGGAAAAATTATTCTGTGCTCTTCCCCAGATTAAAGCAATGCTAGACATAGAGTTCATTTAAGTATGCTGCTAATCTGATGACCGATATCTGATGATACACCGGCTTTTGACTGAGCAGTTTAAGAATAGCATCGGGACACTGCTGTCATGTGCTTCTGCTGGTAATATTTCAATATCGCCAGGCAACATTGTTCCATAATAACACACACTGACGTCCGGAGCTCCTCATTTATTCAATGCAAGAACGGCTGACATGCTGACCTATGCCTGGATTGTTGATCCGTCCAGCTGCGATATCTCCAGCGTTACCTTCAGTCGCCCCCTCACCAGGGTGGAGTGTAGCGGTCAGGTCCCAAAGGGGTAGTCTGGGGCCACAAGGTCCCCACTTGGCTTCCCCACCAGTCCAGGAATAGCTGCCCTCATCTGGATCAGATGTACTTAAGGTGCTGAGGTTTCACTTCCTAAAGTTCCTCCTGGGTTCACAGGGACTTGTTTTCCTTTTTCTCTCAGCGTGGCCAGAAAAAGAGAAATATTATTGTGTTCTTCTACGGTTTTCCTCTCTTGGCTGAATGCTCAGCTTGAGTTTCTCACGCCCCATCTTTTTTATTGGCCCGCTGACATGGCATGTCGATTATTAGCTTGTACAACAGAGAGCTTGTGAGTTAGAAATCAGTCCTTTTGTTATTGTTTTCTTTATTATTTTAGGCATCAAAGTTCATAATGCTACATGGTCAGGATTTGAGCATTGATTCTTTTCAATGGTTAAATAGTCCATCATACTGAATGTTTATTAAACTAAGGAAAATAAATGGGAAGAGAATCATTTTGACGCAAGTTTTCCTTCAGTTTGTAAAAACAAATAAAAACATGTTTATAGTAAGTCACTTACAATGGACGACTGTTGGGCGATCGTACTGGAGGTTTTACAAGCAGAAATGTAAATGAGGTATTTTTCAGTAAAACTTATTCAGTAAAAATGTGTGAACTTGGCCTTGACTACTTTTCTAGGTGGATGAACTTCTGGTTAAAGTGTTATCATGATTCCTGTAGGTGAAATTTGTTCCAGGTAAACAGTGCTTTATAGATATATAGATACTCAAATTCCTTTCTGTTATGCTTTTATAGATATCATGCAAATGTGAATATATTTACTAGGTTTACAGGGTCATAACATGAATTGAAAGATCTATTTACATGCTAACATGTAAATTGAACTAATACGTGAATCTGCTCTTTAAAATGCTTAAAATATGATATACTTGGCATATCTGGATATGACTCTTCAATGCGCTTTTCTCAGGTCTCATTAATAAGGATGGCCATTGACCGTGGGCCAATGTGAAAGACCAGTGCTGTGTATTGAATATGTTATGTTAATGTATCTGTTTTTATGCTCTGCAAACTTAAATGTTTGGTTTTCTGTGATGTACTCTACATTGTTGATGCAAATTATGCTGATTTATCATTAGGATAATGTTATCTAGCTAGCTAAAATAAATTCAAAAATAAATAATTTATTGAAAAATTTAAATATTTATAAATAGCAAGCATAAAATACATTACTAGAAATAAAAATTTATCGTTCTTTTCTGATAGGCCAGTGAAAATGTTTGCAAGGTAGGAACAACTGGCTCAACTTGGTCAGCAGCAAAAAAAATTTATTGTTTACCCATGGTTCTCCATCATTTGCTGAATTAGTGCTGCTGTGATCAGTAGAAAATGTACTCATCCAATTTAAAAGAAGTTCTTAACCAGGATGCAACATTAACTGTGGACGGCAAATAGCTTTGTGAATAAGACCTATAATGACCCTATTTTACATAGAATTGAGCTGTGTTTTGAGCTAAAAAAGAATGACAGAAACTAATGAATTAAACCGTATGAGTTTAAGTACTAGTTGATGCTGAGTTTAAGCATGTTAAGGGTCTTGTATTGTGGGTGGACAGTGAAATACCACATTCAAAAGTGGTACTACTGTTTAGTTTTACTCTGTTTGTTTAGGCAAACAACAAGTATCTGTTGTGTACACTGATTTTTGTTTGCAATGGAAACTGCTTAAATGAAGTGGCCCAGCTGGGATCTCAGAGGAAAACGTTGGAATTCTGGAAATCTTTCTCTGGAGTTCTTGCTCCGCCATCGTTCTCCTGTGTGCATAAATGATTTAGGCATGCGGTGACTGTGCAGACTACAAGATTAGCCAGTTGCATTAATTCATGTACGATCACACCGTATATATTTCCGCTGTAGCCCACAACATTGACCCACCTTTCGTACTTCTGGGCCCACCTTTCAGCCCTTAGACCACAGAGGCTGATATGAATTATTTGTTGACTTTTTTGGCCCCTCCTCACCATTGTGCAGCTCAACTAGTGATGCAGATCCATTTGAAAGGCCTTTTGTTTGAGACCCCACCTCCAGTGGCGCTTAAAGAAAAGGCAGAGATTCATATGATAGTCAGAAAGTATCACCCTCCGACCCACCCCTTCACCCGAGAGCCCGGGAGCGTCTGGGAACCGAAGTCTGAAGGACATTGCTGAAAAAAGTTGCCGGAGTGAAATGCCAGCAGGAAATTGAACTGTTTTGAGCGGGCAGAAAGGAGGAGGAGACGGTGGGGTTCCTTCGGTGTCCAACTGAGCAACAAAAGATCAGCGGAGATATCTGCTAGTCTGCTTACACGCTCTGACAGAGCTTGTACAGGAAGTTCGCATCTCCATGGCCACACGGGCAAAGATCACTGAAGAAACGCTGTTTCACAGGACGTTTTTTTTCCTTCGCTCTCGCAGCTGCCGGCTAGTGACGGAAGGAGGGTGGAATGTTCACCTTCCTGTCACCATGTAGTGCACATGTACCAGTGCCTCCAGCTGCAGGCTACAGCCGGATGGGTGGGAGATCGTTCCCCCAACACCAAACATCTGATTCTCATTCACTCAGAGCCGAAAGAAAGAATGAAAAACCGTTGGATTGCTCCATCAGCTGAGACCGGAGTTCTGGCTCAGAGGCTTGCGAGTTATTGCGTAATACGCCGTGGCTGCGACAGACGTTAGGAGAAGAATTTGGCTTGGGAAAGTGCACTACTTGTTTCTTCATGGGAATTCAATCTAGCTTGATGATGCCACCATTCCAGGCGGTTTCGTTCCCACTCAGACTTTCCAATTTGCTTTTAATGCTTTCGCCAAATGTGTACGAGCATGACTCAAGATTGTTTAAATCTCCTGTTCCTACTGTTCCCCCTCACATGTGGCCGACGGCACATTCTTGACCTGTGCTGGTATGCGATAGACTATCCATCCTGCTTCAAAAACAAAGAGCACCACGGGTGCCCTTTTATTGTTAACTTAGCGTAACGACACCGTTTGCCCGAGGCCCGACCTGCTGACCTTTCACACACACTGCAACCTATCATTGACATCTCAACACATACCCGCAGAACTTTCACCAAACTGGTTGTCAAACGCTCCACCCTTACCACAAAAACCCTCAACTCCTCCAGAAGGGGGGTCAGCCGTCATTGCGATCATGAAAAGGGCATCTATATCTCAAAGTGCCTGTAAATCGCATGGAGAAGAGGCATGCTGGGGCAGCCAAAGAGGCTGGGGAACTCTGTGAGAGTGCATAGTTCTTACTGATGGAGGAGTTGGTAATTAACAGGATGTGAAGTCACTCTGGCCCTCTCTCAGTGTTTGAATGCAGGGGGCAGTTATCAAAGCTGGATTAGGGCCATTGAGCTACCACACACGAGGCCTTAATCACTCAGTGGGAGAAAGGGGCCTCTCACAAGCTTTTGAAATCAATCTCCTGAGAATCCAACCCAAACTGGGTACTCCACGCCAAAAGCCCTTAGAAAAAATAAACTTGATACATTATGTTGACATTTCTGCGTTGACTCTTTCACATTGGCTTAAGCTCAGTGACACTGAAAGGGAGGGGAAACTAAATGCTTTGCTGAATATTAGGAAAATAGCTCAAATATTTTCATAACAAATACCACTAATAAGCATAAATTGTCTGTAGTATGGTAGATTGTGCACATGTTGCTCAAATTCTTTTGCAGTACCATATAAGTATTAAGATATACGATATAATTATAACATAAGACTGTTCTGCTCCTTAATGATCCATTTTTAATACTAAATCTAATACCTAAAAAAGTTGAAAGTTGAAAATAACTTTTCTATTTTAATGATTTTGTATTTATTCCTTTGATGGCAAAGATGTGCTGCTAGATATTTTGTGGAAAACATGAAACAGCATTTATTCAAAATAGAAATTGTTTGTAACAATATACAATAGCCTTCACATTTGATCAATTTAACATATCCTTGCTGAATAAAAGTATTAAAGGGGTCATATACTGTTCTGGAACAGTGTTGTAAATACAATTTAACCACTGATTTCTAGTCGTGTCCTCTTTTGGAAGACCAAACAAAGTAGTTTCGCTTTCACAACGAAACAGCGCCACACGCGGTGGCGGCAGCCTAGAGTGAGAGGAGGCCGGTGAGCTTGAGAACGGCGCGGCCGGCGGATTCGACGAAGGAGCATCCGGCGGGCTTGTGGCAACCACATGTGACGACCCCGGGCTGGACTCCA